ACAAGCATTAACAGCTATGAGAATAGTTTCAAAAATACCAGATAAAAAAGAAGTGCCGAAGTAGTTGCTGTGAAGGTGAAAAACTAAATCGCCGTAATGATTACGGACAGCAACCCCACTTTTAAAATTCAACCCAGATTGAGCAACTGAAATATTGACAGAGACTTTATCACAAGGGGGAGGAGTCCATCTATAAACTTTGGGTTTGATCGTCTTGCTCCCCTTGAGGTGGTTTTGTCATCCGTGGAAATCATAAAGGTCTTTGTTAATACGGGCAATTGCCTCAGGATTACTCATGAGATAATCATTGAAAAAAACCATGTTCCTACGTTTCCAAAGGTTCCAAAGGATTATCATTTTTTCCAAAAAACAGGCAGCTTTGGTAGAGCATAAAATAAAATCTTTGATGCTGGTACCCAAATTGTGAGGATTAAAACCAAAATGCTCCCAGATTTTATGATGGGCAGTGCATTGCACGAAATAATGATCAAGGGAGTCATTGTGGTTACAATTTGGACATTTAAAAGGGCCGTTAAAACCTATTTTAGTTAAAGAGGTTTCATTGATCATTAAACCATTTATCAAACGCCAAAGAAAAAAGGAAATCTTTTTAGGAACCGGTTTTTTCCAAATCAGATTAATATGTCTATTCTTCGGGGCAACAGACCTTATCGCATCATAGGCATAACGGAAGACAAAATCACCATCTGGGGAACGGGCCCAAGTGATATCATCACGATCATTGTTAAAATTGGGTTTCAGGTCCATGAGGGTCTGAGTGATGGTCGTGGGCAGCATACTAGTAGTCCCGCTAATGTCCTGATAGGCTTCAAAAATGGACAGGTCTTGGTCATGGTCGGAGTCAGCAGGCAGCAGGTTACAAAGTGGACCAAACTGACTCTTATCCCTTAAAACATTCAATCTCACCACCACAGTTCTTTTAGCAAACAACTACTAAATCTACATTGCCCTTTAATCTAACAATTGCTGAATATTGAATACGTTTACTAATGTAAAAGAAGTATGACAGAACCCATGCTATCTTGTTTATCCGTAATCAATCCTGTCAATTCACACGTTCAGATCCCTTTGAATTAGGGGTGGGTTCGGTTCTTGCGGTTCGGTTTTGACCTAAAACCAAATGTAGAATCAAAGTAAAAAGTTCGGTTCGGTTTCGGTTCGGTTTTACACTCCAAAACTTGGAACCACGGTTTGATTGGTTCGGTTTGTTTCGGTTCGGTTTCGGTTTTTTCGGTTTTTTTACCAAATTTTTTTCACTTGACTTTAAATTGATATAATACTTAGAGGGATCAAACATATTACATAAAGAATTCAAGCACAATATAACGACAAATAAAATAAAAATGAGAAGAGATAAATATGTCTTGAATTCTATGAGTATGCGAGATAGATAAAACTGTATATATTATTGATTTAATTTGTTTGTGAGTAGTTTGAAATTTTTTCATGAATATATATGTTCTATGTGATATAGTTGAGATTAATATTTATTGTTTTATCAATATAAAATCTTTAAGTTAGCTAAAAATAAAAGTTAATTACTACTAATAACTAGTAAACACATATGATCATCATTCAATATAGCTATTATTACAGACAATGAATGTGTAAATGAATTTATAAACTAAATTAAATTAAACATAACACAAACATTTTTTCTCTAACACAAGAAAACCAAAGACTATTGATGATATTAAGATTAACTAGAATTAATGCTTCACAATTAACATATAAATTTCATATTTTAAATAGTTCGGTTTGTTCGGTTCGGTTCGGTTTTGAAGGGTAAAAACCAAAACCGAATCGAACAACTTCGGTTCGGTTCGGTTTTTTACATTCGGTTTCGGTTTCTTAGCGGTTCGGTTTTATTTGGTTACGATTCGGTTTAATTTGATTCGGTTTTCGGTTTTCGGTTTTTCGGACCCAGCCCTACTTTGAATGGTACGCGCTCTCTCGTGTTGTCTCATAAATCTTTAAAAGCAAGTCAGATTTTGAATGTTTTAAGAAATCATGCGCACTTATAATAATCTTCAGCAAATATCATAAAAACGAAATTCAGCATTAGACAGGAGAATCTCAATAGAAATTGAGTTAAGGGGAAAAGGTCGACCTGGGTAGGGATTTTGGCGTCAAGGGTGAAGATGAAATTACTGAAATCGCTGTGTTGGAGGTATTGGTCCTACCAAGGCCTCCCTTCCACTTTATTTTTGAGGCTTGCACACTCTATTTTACTCTCTCTTGGATACCTTTCTCTGGTATATATCTTGATCAAATATATACCTTGATGAGTTGACTTTCCTACTGGGTGGCCCCCTTTTCTTAACTATCCGCTGCATCCTATTTTGTCTTGGCTTCTACATGTGACTTTCCCTTGTTTATGTAGCATGTGAGTGTTTGTTGTTGTTACCTCACCCGTGACTTCTCTTCTAGCTGGCAGCCTAGTATTTGTACCCCTTGCTTCTCCCATTGTGAAGCAGCCTGCGAGATATCCAAGTGAGAGCAGAGCTCACTTCTTCTTCCTCCTTTGTGTGAGTGTAGAGAGGTCTTTGTGGAGAGTAGAGAGTTGTGTACTATAGCCTCCTCTTAGTGTGGTGTGTGAGAGTGTGTGTTGAAAGACCTGAGCCGGAGATGGAATCCGATCCTTACAGTGGTATCAGAGCCGGAACCGCCGTCTGCCGCCGCCGCACGCCGCCACCGCACGCCGTCGACGTCAATTGAAGCTCGCCGGAGGTCCCTGGAGCTGCCTGGTCATTCGTATTAGCTTCATGGTCTTCAACGTGGTCTCTGCTCGTTGAAATCATGCTTGCCAGAAGCTGAATCCGCCATAGCTTCCGCTGGAATCTCAAACCGCCATTGCCAGAAGCTCGCACCGGAATCTCACCGCCGTTGGAAGTTCGCCCGTCGCCTGAAAGCTCGCCGCCGCAGGGTGTTGCTCGCCGGCCATCTCCCGTCACTGGCACTGGAGTCACTGGAGCCGAGGTTGGAAATTCGCCGGTCTTCCTTCGCTGCAGGCCTCGCGTACAAGAAACGCCAGATGCTTTCTTACTGAAGGAGCTGCTGGACCGATGCTGATTTGGACTGCTGGAGCAGTCCGTTGAGTCTGCTGGAGCGCTCTCTCGTGTTGTCTCATAAATCTTTAAAAGCAAGTCAGATTTTGAATGTTTTAAGAAATCATGCGCACTTATAATAATCTTCAGCAAATATCATAAAAACGAAATTCAGCATTAGACAGGAGAATCTCAATAGAAATTGAGTTAAGGGGAAAAGGTCGACCTGGGTAGGGATTTTGGCGTCGAGGGTGAAGATGAAATTACTGAAATCGCTGTGTTGGAGGTATTGGTCCTACCAAGGCCTCCCTTCCACTTTATTTTTTAGGCTTGCACACTCTATTTTACTCTCTCTTGGATACCTTTCTCTGGTATATATCTTGATCAAATATATACCTTGATGAGTTGACTTTCCTACTGGGTGGCCCCCTTTTCTTAACTATCCGCTGCATCCTATTTTGTCTTGGCTTCTACATGTGACTTTCCCTTGTTTATGTAGCATGTGAGTGTTTGTTGTTGTTACCTCACCCGTGACTTCTCTTCTAGCTGGCAGCCTAGTATTTGTACCCCTTGCTTCTCCCATTGTGAAGCAGCCTGCGAGATATCCAAGTGAGAGCAGAGCTCACTTCTTCTTCCTCCTTTGTGTGAGTGTAGAGAGGTCTTTGTGGAGAGTAGAGAGTTGTGTATTATAGCCTCCTCTTAGTGTGGTGTGTGAGAGTGTGTGATGAAAGACCTGAGCCGGAGATGGAATCCGATCCTTACAGTGGTATCAGAGCCGGAACCGCCGTCTGCCGCCGTCGCCGCCGCACGCCGCCGCCGCACGCCGCCGACGTCAATTGAAGCTCGCCGGAGGTCCCTAGAGCTGCCTGGTCATTCGTATTAGCTTTATGGTCTTCAACGTGGTCTCTGCTCGTTGAAATCATGCTTGCCAGAAGCTGAATCCGCCATAGCTTCCGCTGGAATCTCAAACCGCCATTGCCAGAAGCTCGCACCGGAATCTCACCGCCATTGCATTTTTGCCCGGGGTTATTAAAGTGAATACTTTATAACCCAGGTTGGATTATTTTCTGTCAATTCAGTCTGTTTAGCTTTGTGTTCCTTTTGTGGTTGATATCATGGCTGCGAATCAGTATGGTATGCTTCCATTTAATGGAAAAACAGATTTTGATATTTGGAAACAGAAAATTAAGTGTGTTTTAATACAGCAAAAAGTTTTCAGAGCTGTCACTGGTATTTTCCTTGAATCAGAAGATAAGGCTAAACAAATTGAAATGAACGAAACTGCTTGTTCTACTATTTACTTGAATCTGCCTGATTCTGTGCTTAGGAAAGTAGGTATTCTTGAGTCCGCTAAGGAGTTGTGGGAGAAATTGGATAGTCTCTATACCGATACCTCTTTACCAGGGAAGTTGTTCTTACTAGAAAAATTCTTTAGGTTTAGGCTTGACCTGACTAAGGATATAGATGAGAACCTGGATGTGTTTAATAAACTGATACAGAATATCAAACAGGCAGGTGATAAACACATAGACGATTATACTCCCATAGTATTACTTAATGTCATTCCCGACTCTTATAATGATGTTAAGTCCGCTATTAAGTATGGTAGGGATGAGATTTCGTTAGACATTGTTGTGAATGGATTAAGAAGTAAGGAATTAGACCTGAAGCATGCTAGGGGTAGTGCTAGTCAGTCCAGGGACTCCGGTGAGGCTATGTTTGTTAGGGGTAGATCTAAGGGTAGGTCTAAGAATCCTAAGCAAAATAGTCAGGGTAAGAACGCTAGTCAGCCTGGGAGGAAGAGGAGCAAATCTAGGAAGAGAGTGTGTTACAATTGTGGTAACACTGGCCATTTCATTAAGGATTGCCCCCACCCTAAGAAGACCCGAGCCGGAGACGGAATCCGATCGGTCCTAAGGGTTTTAACCCTTTATCGGTCCTAAGGGTTTTAACCTTCCTGCCAGTTTGGTTTTCAACTAGGGTTTTCCACTCCCTAAACCTCACAAACACATCAGACTTGTGTTCTAAAAGGCAAACTCACACCTTCCTAGAAAAGGCATCAATAATAGAAAGGAAATATTTCCTACCCCCGTGGGTAGGAACACTGGCAGGACCCCAAACATCGGCATGAACATATTCAAGCACAGACGAACACTTAGACAGATTAGGGTAAGAGGAAGGAGGGAAACTGACTCTATGCTGCTTGCCTAACACACATGATTCACAGAAAGGCACAGAAGTCACAGAGTCCTTACCAAAATAACCAGCCCTACGCATGACATCTAAACCCTTATTGCTCATATGTCCTAGCCTATTATGCCACAAAGAGGTCTTATCAGAACATACAACATTCACAGACTCAGCAAAAGGTTTAACATGGCACACATAAAGGTTATTCACCTTCTCAGCTTTAAACAGAACAAGCGAGTTTTTCAGGATTTTCATACAACCATTCCCCCATTTTCCCTGTAACCCACTACTCTCCAAAGCAGCAACAAATAACAAGTTATGACACAAATCAGGGACATGCCTCACATTCTTAATGGTAAACACAGAGCCACAAGAAAACTTCAGACATATATCACCAACACCAAGCACATTGCATCTCTTATTATCGGCTAAGGAAACGTAGCCACTATCACATAACTCATAAGTAGAAAACAAATCTCTAAAGGGGGACATGTGATAGGTACAACCAGAGTCAATCAACCATTCATGCTCAGACAGGGAATTTCTAACAGAATTAACATGATCACAAACCATCAAAATATCACCAAGGTCACATTTATCAACAGCTACACTGGCATGCTCGGTCTAAGAAATGTGTCTTCCTAGGTTATCCAGAGGGGGTAAAGGGTTACAGGTTATGGGATAGAAATCAGGTAGGCTTTAAAGTGGTCCTTAGCAGAAATGTGGTGTTTAATGAAATTGATTTTCCTTGCTTGACCAAGTCTGTTTCTGATCCTGAGTCTAGGTCTGATAGTACTCCTAGTGAGGTGGAGTCTGTCCCTGTTGCTGCTAGTCCTTTATCTGTTGATCCTGTTATTTCTGATGATATTGTTATGCATGATTCTGATTCCTCTGAGCATGATAGTCCCACCACCTCGAGTGAGGTGGAGCATTTGCATGATACTGAGCATGATTTGCATGATATGGGTGCTGGATCTGATTTTCATGATAACAATAATTTGCATGAGTTGCATGAGGAGCCTAGTAGTGATAATTTGCATGATTATCAACTTGCTAGAGATAGGAGTAGAAGGGCTATCAGGAGAACTGCTGATAGTATGCCTGATTATGCTTTCATTGTGCATGATACTTCTATGTTTGCATTTTCTGTGTTTGAATCCCTAGAGCTGAATGAACCCAAGACCTACCGTGAAGCCTTAGGTTCCAAAGAGTCTCAGAAATGGATTAGTGCCATGAAAAGTGAGATGGACTCTTTGAGAGTGAACCAGACTTGGACCCTTGTACCTAGACCTCCCAACTGTTCGGTAGTTGAGTGTAAGTGGTTGTTTAAGGTTAAGTGTAACACCCCCAAATTTCCCGCCCAAAAACATTGATATGATTGAAATAAAACTTTTATTTATTGATAATAAAATTTAAAGAGTATAGCGGAAGTCTAAATAGGGAAATGGGTGTTACCGCCACATCCGGTCATCTCTCAACCGGATGCACAGGCAACTAAAACAAAACAATAAAACTAAATAATAAATGTTTATTTCAAGACTAAATTTAACTAAGGCAACTTCTAACTCGCTCTCAGGCGCGTGCAATCAACAATCAACATAATCACCATCACCTGCACAAATAAAGCGCAGAAACAAAACAAGGAAAGAAAACAAAAATTAGCTTTAGAGCTAAGTAAGTACTACCCAACCCCGTAAAATAATCAGGTTTGGCTAAAATAGATTTTTATATAATACTATATAAAAATAACACACTCCATAAAAATTCTCTTCTTCTTTGATTATCTCAAAAATCACTTCTTCTCTAACTTCCTAGTAATTTAGAAGGGCGGTGCTCAACCTTTCGACTGAGCCCGGTGGACCGTGGTTACGGACGGCCACCCCGAACAAATGCCGGTACCACAACTGCTCTTGCAGAAACGAAACGACTACCTTAAGTGTGCACACCCCCTAAAAGGGATTCCAAGCCCTCCGAGTAGTAAGTCGTCACGAGTAATCGGGACTCAGTCTACCAACTACCCCACCTTTAAAATTCTTGAATGATTAGGGACTACTACTATTATAACTTCTTCTTAAAAGGGATCATAGACCCAAATGTCACTTAAAACTCAAATTGTACTTCTTAATAGTAGCAGCCCTAATCACCCTCCACATTTATCCGGATGTGGAAAACCGACACCGCGGATTTTTCCCGCGGTGCTCACCTCTTATAAAATCCTTACTTTTATCTTGAATTAAGTATACTTCAAAAATACTTCTCAATCTCTCTAATTAGTCTCAAAGGTATTTAAAATATTTAATACCCCAAAAAGTACTCTTAATTTGTATTCCTCAAAATCACATACTCATAATTCACAATTCACACTTAATCACATAATGCATAATAAGCATATAATACGAGGAAACAATTTTGGATTAGCAGAGAAACTTACCTAGAATCCAATGCTCCTATTTCTCTTCTTCTATTCCAGTCTCTAAATATTCACCTTTTTAATTAAGATGATATAATTAGTCGATTGCCTAACATCAAATATCTACCCAATTTTTTTTCTTATATATTACTATTCGAGTTCATTAATGTGACTAATTATTAATTCTAACTTAGTATATCCCTTTACTAAATTCTGAAATCGTTATCAAGTTATCCAGTTGATAGTCCATAGTAATGCATAGCTATCCACTTGTATCAATTTATTTATGAATGTCCATTACGGATGTAACCATTTGTTTTGACATCATCCACACTAACCAATCCAATCTGTCTATTATAAGCAATTTCCATTACTGTTTCAGATTTTAATTAAAGGTGTGCTTTATCTTAGCCCCTAGCTTTAACCCAGGTCATAGGCCCTTATATTTTAACTGAACCAAATTTGTTTTAAGATCAAATTTATTTTAAAATGTTCGGCCCAGATGAAAGGACCTGAAGAAAATAACAGAGTACTTACGTACTTGTAAGCCGTCTTCCTCACAGCAGAGATGTGCCCAAAAATTGATCGTCACGACGTCGCTTCGGATTGATCCTCCTCCGATCCGGCGGCTTCGAGATAGTGGTTCAGCACTTCAGCCGCGGTTCTGCCTCGTCAGAACTCTGGCAGTCCATTCTCCACGGTTAGGTGTCTCCTCCGGCAATGGATGACCGTCAGTCCAACGCTCGACGGTAGTGGGTTGATCGCCCCAGGGTCTCTGCGCTCAACTCCGGTAGCGGTAACAACTCCAGCGGCTCAGCCTCAACGGCGGTCTCTCTTCCTCCTTGGCCAGATCATACGTAGAGTTCTGTCTTCTGCTCGTTGGTTTTTGCAGAACGGCATGGGGTGTGTGTTGTACGTATGATTTACAGTTACAGAGTATGAGCGCATGTATATGTTTGTGTGCGGCGTGGTGTAGAGAGGGTACGAGGTTGCGATATATATATATATGCCCAGTTGATGATTCCAGATTTTAGGGTTTCTTTCGTTAAAAATATGCACCCGAGAGTATTTAAACGTGCGAGCGTTTAAATTCCCTTTTCATTTATTTTAATTGTTTATTATTATTGTTGTACGATAACGCATGCATTCATATAGGTGTATGGGGGTGTTTGGAACTGATTCTGCTTCTGCTTCTTTTTTAAAAGCAGAAGCAGAATCAGAATCAGTTTTCAGAAGCTGGTACCCCCCAGCTTCTAAAAAAACTGATTCTGAGAGTAAATTAGAGCTCCAGAAGTGCTTCTGGAATTTCACCCAAACACTCCAGCTTCTGCTTCTGCTCCATGAAAGAGCAGAATCAGTTTTGAGAATCGGATCCAAACACCCCCTATATTATTTTTTTTCAACATTGAAAAATATGTCACTTTTGACGTTAAATTTGTTTTTTTTTTCCTTTTTGTCTATTTTATTTTAATATAAATTTTCGGGTATCACATTAAGGAAGAACCTAGTGATGTTAGGTTTAAGGCTAGGTTGGTTGCGAAGGGGTTTACTCAAAAAGAGGGGGTAGATTATGCAGAAATCTTTGCTCCTGTTGTTAAATTCACCACTATTCGTATGATGCTTGCTTTAGTTGCTCACCATGACTGGGAAATGAAACAAATGGATGTAACTACTGCATTTTTGCATGGTGAATTGGACAAAATGATTTATATGACCCAGCCTGAGGGCTTTGTGGATCCCAAGAGAAGTGAGCATGTCTGTTTGCTTAGGAAGGCATTGTATGGCCTGAAGCAATCCCCTAGGCAATGGAACATCAAATTTGATAAATGCATGATATCTTTGAAGTTCCAGAAATCTGTTTGTGATCATTGCCTATATTTCAAAAATACTTCTTCTGTGCCTGTATTTTTGCTACTCTATGTGGATGACATGCTGATAATTAGTCCTTCTCTGAATGTTATTAAAGATGTGCAAAAATGTCTCTGTGCGAATTTTGCCATGAAAGACCTAGGTGATGCCAAGAGGATTCTAGGCATAAACATTGTTAGGGATAGGAGTAAGCGTACTCTTACTTTGAATCAGATTTCTTACATAGAAAAAGTTTTGAGTAAATTCAATATGTTATCTGCTTCTCCTGTTAATATCCCTATGGCATCTCACTTTGTGTTAAGTAAGGACCAGTCTTTCAAGACTGCTCCTGAAATTGAGAAAATGAAATCTGTGCCTTATTCCAGCGCAATAGGGTCAGTGATGTATCTTATGGTTAGCACTAGACCTGATATTGCATATGCGGTTAGTTGCTTGAGTAGATATATGTCCAACCCTGGTTTGCCTCATTGGAATGCTCTTAAGTGGTTGCTTAGATATCTGATTTCTACTGTGAAGCATGGATTAATTTTCTCTAAATGTGCTAGTGGTATTGAATTGATTGGTTATGTTGATTCTAACTATGCAAATGATAGAGATAACAGGAAGTCGACCACTTCTTATGTTTTTACTTTGTGTGGCTCTTGCATTAGTTGGAAGTCTCAACTACAGCCTATTGTGGCCCTTTCTACCACTGAGTCCGAGTATGTTGCAGCCACAGAAGCATTTAAGGAAGTCATCTGGCTCAAACGCCTTGTCTCCGAAATTGGGTTTCTCAAAAAGGGAGTTACCATTTTCTTGGATAGCCAATCGGCTATCCAACTTTGCAAAAATCCTGTATTTCATGATAGAACTAAGCATATTGATGTTAGGTTCCATTTCATACGTGAT